AAAAGGCTGAGACCTCTTTTTTAAATCTCTCCCCCTCCCTGTGGCACGCGATTACCAGGTGGCAGTAGGTGTCTGGCTTGGGACCGCTGCCATTTTACTTCATTCCGCACAAGTTACGCTCTTCCAGAGTTACATATTCCAGCGATGCAGATCCTCAATGGCTTAGTTCTATCCTTGTTGGATGCCAGGCCATTTGCCAAAAAGAAGGAGATCACTGGCATCAGCACGAGGTTGATGTAATGGTTTTCGGCCGAGTGTTTGGCCGGGAACGATACATCGTTACACTGTCTTAGAAATATTATTTCGGGAATCCACCACATTCGCATCGTTCGATATTTATCATCCGGCATTCCATCTTCTATTATAAAATGTTAAAGGAATTGTAACTTTCGATATTGTGTGCGTATCTAGAGTCAGAACGCGCTTTATCCGTCCAAGCCCCGAAAATCCGTCCAAGAAGTCCGTCGTGAATCTGCGGAGACAATCCACCGATCATACATCCGCGTCAGTTAATAAAGGTACAAGCACGAGCAAAGACCGTACAAATAATAGCGCTAACGTCAATTCATACCTTAATAGCATCACTAACAATTCAAGCAATAGGAACGCTAAGGTCGAAGGGTAATCCACAATTGTCGCTAACATCGTCCTTCCCCCCTTCGGAGGTCAAAGCCATGTCTCTGCCGCGAGTGAGTTTCGCGGCGGACTTGGCATAAGGATGCGATACGTAACGTAGGGCAATTTACAGAACGACAAAAATTACAAGTAAACTATCGAATAACGTGAAACACGTAAATGCACGTCGCTTTGAAAGAGGCCGAAGACGATTTGTCACACTAACGGTGTGAGAAACGAAAGAATGTCCGAACCGCGCGACTGCCAGCGCAAGAAACTGATGCCAGTGATGAATGCACCTACTCTAAACAAAACACATAATTTATAGGTGACAACGTGCACTTCGCCGGAAGTATCCAAAAACCATCGAGTACCGCCGAGCCACAAGTGTTCCCACTCGACTTATCGATCGGCGAAGATCCTCGTATTACCAGTCGGCGAAGACTACCAAAGAGAAACGGAACAATACAAACAGGAGCAACAATTGCTTAATTTTGCAATTATCGCTTACGATCCTAGACCGTTCCGATCCTAGCATCCTGGTAAAAACTATGTCCGTTGCAAACCAACGTAGTAAAGAATTTTTTTATCACAAATCGAGCATTCTTGATAGTGGCTGACCAAGCATCATCCGCTGCAATCAGCTACAGAACTACGAGCCGATTGCACCGACGGGATATTATCCGGGATCAGAGTATGCTCTGGCTTGCCGAGTCTTCTCGGCCGCCGTCTGACCGTCGCCGTTCTAAAGCACTACAATTCTAGCATTGCACCGAAAAGAGGTGGAGCACGCACGCACACGCACACTGTATGTACATTTACACTTCTCAAATAAAGCATTCTTTATATCGAAATACTCGTACATTACTAGACCTGCATCTCTCTTTCCCGAGCGAGCTTGTTTGATGTTCCGAATTATCTACGTAATCCGACGAGCTAATCCGCACCGAAGTTAGGTTGTTTCAATAGTAAAGACTCTAAAAAGACTGTTCTCACACACCACTGTCTTCATGGATTAGAAATATTCCAAGCGGATATTGTCTACGCTATAATTTCTAGGCATTTCTTAGGCCCCAAGCGAGTAGAGTATGTTAGTTTTTGTTTGTGCGGCGTAGCCGCTTCAAATCAATAAGCACTAGTCTATATGATAGGTTTTTTAACAACAACGCGCGGGGGGGGGGAGGGTGAGAATCGCTTTGCGTAGAAAGTCGAAACCCATGTAGAACAGTGCAATTATAAACCTCATTTTGCCTCTATGACAGATTTCCTAACCTCAAAAGTAATTTTAAGGACGGAGTCCCATGAGGCATATTTGCCGCGTATCGTGTATCGCGTAACCAGTAATCAGTAATCAGTAAAATACAAAACTACAACAGCGGATCGCTTCTGATTGATTACGCGATTATGTATAATAATACGCGATAAATAAACCTTATAGAACTTTTTTTCTAACCTTTAATATCTTGGTTCGCGGGACAGAGCGACATTTTTTTCTGCCAGATTTTTTCATTTCATGCAAAAATGCATCGAATAAGCCTAATTCTCTTAATTTTTAAGCATTTATTCTGTATAATTACGTTATATCTTGATTTCGTTAGAGTCTTTAATATATTAATATAGTTTAATTCTATTTCATTCTATATGTGCAACATAAGCTTTGATCTAAAAGTTAACTAGCTGTTATAGTGACAGCTATAATCAGTATAATAGAATAAAAATGAAGCATACAATTCAGTCATTTAGCAATCAATAATTAGGCAATTCAGTCATTTCGCAGCTGACCTGATAATCATTGATTTCCGAAAAATCAGCGTATCAATTGCCTACTTCAATTTCGTATTTCAATTGCAAAAATGCAATTGTTACGTCCAAGCTCCGCGCGCATGCGAGGCTGAGGGGGTGAACATAACAAGGAACCGAATTGTTAGACCGATTTGGTCGTGTCCAGGCTTCGGACCGCAAGGGAGCTGTGGGGAAGGACTGATGCAAATCGAGAGGCGCTTCGCTTCGTCCTGAGGCTCCTAACGAGCCGGGGGTCGAACGGAGGATGAAGTGGAAACCTCTGCTCGTGCTCCGCTAAACGGACACACGAGTCAGACGTACTTTCAAAAAAAGGGCCCAAACTGGGTCAGGGCGCCGAGAGGGCGCACTTTAACACCAGCTGCGCCAGTACGGCCGTAAGCCCTGACTTTCGGTCATGGAACTTAATCCAAGTGACCGGAGAGAGGGCGAAGTGCAATCCCGGACGAGCCCCCAATTTTTCAAGTTCTGTTACGTCCAAGCTCCGCGCGCATGCGGGGCAGCGGGGGAGTACCCATTAGATGGGACATGTGAGGTTGAGGTGTTAATCGGAGAGGGTGATGGTGGATGCAAAGGGAAATCTGCGGAAGGAATCGGAGATGGATTGGAGATGGGGGAGTATGAAATTTCAAGGGGTGAAGAGAGTGTTGCTAGGGAAAACTGTACGGGGGGAATCGGTTCCGGGACTGTCGGTTGATTTTGCGGAGTTATCGGGTTGGTAATCCGGGCGCGGGCTGCGAGTCGGTGCAATCGGCTGGTTCTCGTCAGGCTCGGCTTCGACGGACTTCCTTCGATCAGGAGACCCCGTAGGTTTTTTTTATTGAATGCACTTGAATCCCGATCATTCAATTGAACTCACTGACTCTATCGGGAACCTTTTGAGTATCGCGACCATTTCTCTAACTTATCGGAAAATCGCGCGACAAGTGTAGCCCGAGAACTTAGTAACCAATATGCCTCTCTAGACTTGGAGGAGAATCTGCTTCGAGGGCTGCGGAACCGCGATTTTTATACTAATCGCCCCGGATTACTCAAATTTGGATTGGTGGAATAGGTTTCGTTAGCTGGTAGTAGGATTTTCCTCTGCTCTTGGATTGGTCAAGATTTTGGGGGAGGAAAGGATGTTGACAGGAATCTGTAGTAGTGGAAGGTGTCTTCCAAAATTTTATGATCTCTTGAAACGCATGTCTCATGCTCCGATAAGCCGCCCATGCATCGTTGCCATCCAGCATCTACCCCCGAACGTTGCGTGCCGTTTCTTATTTGTTATTGATTTAGTTTATCTCGGAGCAACATTCATGAGGAGACACCGGGTCCCTTAGTTTAGTTTTTAGTATACGGAAAAAAAAGAAGATAAAATTTGTGTGTTTCGGCGAATTTCAGATCTCTACGAAAGAAAAGAGTCGTGCGAGTCCGCCGGAGGTAACACAATCTTGCGGAAGTAACACGCAAATTTTGCAAACAGTTTCTCACAAATTGCAAAAAAGGCGGAAGCTATTGTCCGTCAAATTAAGAAACTTAAAGAGTTTCTTTAAGAAATCCAGGATGTGATTGTCAGCAATGACCGCATTCAAAAAGAGAACAACTGAAATCAGCTCGAACAGCTGACCAAAGTGCATGTCAGGTCAGCAATTCGAGCAAGTATATTAACGAACGCCGTGACATACTGAGTCTTACAGAGTCTTATTATTAGCTGTTATCCGAGTACGCCCATACGTCAACAGCTCACGATATTAAATCATAAGTCGACCGAATTATAAAGCAACGCGAAAGTTTGCAAAAGTATCAGAGTTCTGAGACCAGCCAGTGGATTTTCGGATGTCCTCAATACTAATGCCTCTGCGAGCAGCTACTGAAAAGCTAGCATGGCGTGTCATATGTGTAGAGAAAACTAAGATGTCGATCCCTCCTTCGGAAAGAGTCGTTCTAATTTATCGGCTAATAGATTGCAGCTTCCCTTATAGGAATTTTAAAGGCAAGAAAAAGAATTGATAAGGCATCCAGTAAGGAATCTGCAGTCCTATTCATATATGAGCGCAAAAGGAAGTGATTGATAACGTGTGCTGATCGTCGAAATGGTGAAAAATTATCACGGATTAGTAACAGTTTAATCCGGAAGTTTTAACTCGATCCGGAATCTTAATAATTACGGTATTTGCAAGGAATTGAATATTTTGTCTACATATTATAATAGAGATAGCATTTGTACTCTTTATACTGAAGCTAGAATTAATAGAGTAGCTAACTTACGGTTAAGTAAAGTTCTAGACTTAAGCTCTCGTGTGGCCAAAAGGATGCTAGTATCGTATGATAAGTCGGGCGTTGGGTCCCAGGTCAACATATTTTGGTTTCGAAGGTTTCAGCACTGACACGCCCTTGAAAAAAGTTTGGTTTTTTTCGTTGGAGCCAATATAACTATTGGTTATTAACGATATCACCGAGCAATACGAATTAAGTATTCCGTAACATGTAATCTTGTGGAATCTCTCTCTTGGAATTATAGTGATAAAAACTAAGAACTAAAGGTACATGGGCTAAAAAGTCCCGGGATTTTTAATGAAAGCGTTTTTTGGGCAAAGTTATATTTATTCCTCAACATAATTGCCTTCAAGGGCGATACACTTGGTATAGCGATTTTCCAACATTTCGATACTCTTTCTGTAGTACGAAACATCCAAGCCTTCGAAATACGCCTCGGTTTCCGCGATGACTTCCTCATTCGATCTGAATCTCTTTCCCTGGAGCCACCGCTTGAGATTTGGGAACAGATAATAGTCGCTGGGGACCAAGTCTGGAGAATATGGTGGGTGAGCAACCAATTCGAATCGTAATTGGTCCAATTTGGCCATCGCTTTCAAGGACGTGTGTGACGGTGCGTTATCATGATGTACAGAACTTTTTTCTTCGCCATATGGAGCCGTTTTTTCTTTATTTCGTCGTTCAGTTTGTCCAATAACGCTGCATAATACTCTCCTGACTGTTCTTCCCTTCTGCAGGTAATCGATGAAGATTATGCCATGCGCATCCCAAAAAACGGAGGCCATAACCTTCCCGGCCGAGCGTTGGTCTTTTGGGCGCTTTGGTCGGCTTTCGTGGCTTTCCAGCCACTCTGCAGACTGCCTATTGGACTCAGGCGTATGGTAATGGACCCACGTTTCATCCATCGTCACAAAACGTCGAAAAAAGTCCGCTCGATTACGCTGCAACAACGCCAAACCGGCCGTTGAATCATCAACGCGCTGCTGTTTTTGGTCGACGGTCAGCAAACGCGGCACCCATCGCGCCGATAGCTTTTTCATCTCCAAAAGATCGTGCAAAATGTATCCCGCCCGTTCTTTTGAGATGCCCACGACCTCAGCTAACTCGCGCAACTTCACTTTACGATCACTCAAAACGATTCGATGCACTTGCTTTACGATTTCCGCATTCGTAGCCTCTTTTGGCCTTCCAGAACGAGGTGCGTCTTCGGTGCTTGTACGACCCATTTTAAATTCACTAAACCACCGATAAACTGTTGTTCTCGAAGGAGCAGATGTGGGATAACATTTCTGCAACCATTGCAATGATTGTTCAGAAGTTTTTCCCATCAAAAAACAATGTTTGATCAAGATGCGATATTCCTGTTTTTCCACGAAGTTTTTTTTTACGAAGGCGAAAGTAGCGTCATTCAAACGACTGTAGCTTGTAAATGAATGGACGAAATGTCATGAAACTTCATACATAAAATAGTGACAGATGAGCCTCTCGAAATGAGTCATGTTCATTTTCTAGTGGCGCCACATATTGAAAAATCCCGGGACTTTTCAGCCCATGTAGTATATCAGACTGAAACCAGTCGACCCCACGTTTGTTACAAAAGGACCACCAGAGTTTAATAGGTTTACTGTATTAAGTAAGCATTAAATTAGCAAGGGATGCTAAGGCCACTTCTATGGATTCCTCTGGGAAACTTTTTCGACGAAGTTGAGATACTAATAATCGCGAATATATATAATCCTCCCTTCATTACAAATAAGAAACTTTTATTGCGGAAAATATTACCTCAGCCAGGATTCGAACCTGGGACTTCTCGTCTTTCCGGGACGAGTGTCTTAACCAGCTCGATCACTGAGGCTTTGGAAATATTCCTCGCAATAACTGACATGTATAGTGAGAGAACGCGTAATCAGGCGGTCTATTCTAGTAAATAGAAACCGACCGAGTTAATGTAACAACTGTTACGAAATGATGTGATAGAAATTGAGGTTCCTCCGTTTTTTAAAGTTTCTTAAATGTATTTAAGCAGTTTATCCGGGGATCGGAAATCAGGTTGTGCGATGATTGGAAATAATCACAAGAAAAAAATGGATAATAATTTGTAGAAGAAATTTAGATTCCGGCCTCGCAAGATTTACAAAGATTATATAGGAGCTCACGCGGACTGGCTTTGAAATTGAAATTAATCCAATAAGTTAATACTGTCGTTTATTAAAAAGAAAGAAATAGTGATTATATATGAAATAACTTATATGAGGGGAATATAGTTCCTATTATGCGAATATAGTTCCTACTCGCGAAGGCGACTGTCGTGATGGACTCTACTCCGAGATTATTATATTTTTCTACTGACTGACTGACTACCTTTTGTAGTTCTTTTATATTCTGGCAAAGAGTATGGAGGTGTCTTCCCAGACCAATCAACACTCTTCAAGATTTGGTAGGGCCTATACTTACACTTGTTTTCTTAAGATAAAACAGCAAGGCTCCGCGTAAACCCTACTCTCGACACTACCAATCTAGATTTTATGTTAAAAATAAAATTTGAAACTTTTCAGGAGCATATAACCAACCTTCGTTGTTTAGAAGTCATATATTATAAAAACCAAGTACAATTTGTATACGTTTCGGTCAATATTTGACCATCTTCAGTACATTTCTAATAACATTATATTAAACCGAAATCACTCGATAGTAATCCTAATCTAACAACGCAAAACATTTTCGCAAAACATTTAAGCAGAAATATCGCATCTTTTTAGAAAAAGTGTGTGAAGATAATTTTTAATTATCACCCCACAGTTCGCAATAATATGGTGACATACAAAATATAAATATCGCATTTCTTTGAAAACAGCATGTAAAGATAATTTTAGCATTTATATAACAGTTCGCAACGTTTTATATGGTGCAGTACAAATCTTCCATTAATCATCAAATCAATTTCCGTATTGGTATGTCTACTATTACTTTAATGTCAAGCTTTTCAATTTTTCTTCTTGATCCGACTCCGACTTTTTTCATATATAAGTACAAGACCAATTTTAGACTTTTTTAAGTTTTTTTGGACTCTCTACACGTATTCAACACATGTACGTGATCAGACCCACAGGAGACACGCAAGTGGTCAGTTCTATGTGTGAGATTAAATATGACAATTAGGACCTGATTAATTTTCAGAATTAAAATAATTTTGTGTTAGAAATATTATTGATTGTGTTATTTACTATGTTAATAATAAATTGTTTGTTTTGATGAATAAATAATTACAACCGAAAGAAAAAAGAATAAAACGAAGAAGGGAAGCAAAGAAATTAACTAATAATTTTCAAAAACTTACACGTATCTCACTGTACACATCTCACTGTTATTACACTCACATGTTATTAATTATAACGTGCTTTTCTTTGTATGTCGAAAGTCCGAAATTCGGTCTATTTATACTCTTCACCTAGAGAGAGGACGAGAGGGGAGAAGGGGGTTATTTTTACAAGAGAATTGAGTAAGAAGGGATAGAGATATTATTTGAGGAGAGGGAGGTATACGTCAGGGAACCGATCGGTATCACTTTGCTTATTTAAGGTATCTGTATGCATTTTTATGTAGATCATCTCGGAAATGCTCCTTTTAAAAAAAGACTGTTCTAAATCTAAAATTTCAGTGTTATTCCAATCCATAACATGTCCATCACTTATTTGATGATTTGAAATAACAGATAGAGATTCAACCGGTTTTTTTATATCATTAATATGTTCTTTTAAGCGTGTTTTTAGTTTTCGTTTCGTTTGGCCCACATATGTATTATTACATTCTTTACAGTCTATTTTGTATACTACGCCTGATTGATCATCTTTACTTATTTTGTCTTTGCCTAGAGTGATAAATTTACTAAGACTGTTTAATGGTTTGTACACCGGTTGGAGGTTGTATTTTTTCAAAATTCCTTTGAATTTATTTGAACTCTTTTTTAAAAAAGGTATAATAAAATAATTTGTCTTTTTTGTTAATTCATCATCAAAGTTCTGATCCATGTTATTAATTATTTCGAAATTATATTTGTTGGAAAGTATAATAATTCTATCTTGGATGACCTTAAATAGCATTTGTAAGGGATAACCGTTGTCTAGGAGGGAGCTAATTAAGGATTCTATGTTTTTTTGTTGGAATTTGGGATGTGAAAGAAATAAGACCTTGTCCACCAAATTCGTCACCATACCTCTCTTTTGTGAAAACGGGTGGTTTGAAAAGAAATTGAGGTATCTACCTGAATTAGTTGGTTTTTTATACAGATCACAAATGATGTATCCATCCTCGTATATTAATTTTAAGTCTAAAAAATTGATACTACACTCATCACCATGATCGACCGTAAATTTAATGCGTTCATGATATGCATTAAACGAATCTAAAATATCGTTAATTTTGTTTTTTGAAGCTGCTAGTACAATGTCATCTACATATCTATAATAAACCGGTATGTGTGTAATTACATTTTGAAAAACATTATTTTCTAAGTCATGAATCACTAAGTCAGCCAAGACAGGTGATAACGGAGATCCCATGGGCAACCCAAAAATCTGCTCATAATACTTATCATTAAACTTAAAAAAAGTGGATTTTAAAATAATTGTGATTGCGTTCTTAAATTCCGGAAGAGGCAAAGACGTGTTGTTCTCTATCCCTTTCCACCTACTTATCACACTTTCCACGGCCAGCTCAAGGGGAATGTTCGAATACATGGATGAAATATCAAAGGAAACAATTTTGTAATCTTCTGGTATCGGTAATCCATTAATTTTTCCGACCAATTCTAAACTATTTTTTATGTGTCCAAATTTGCCTTTTAAATTTAAGCTTTTATTAATAATATCCTTTAAAAAAATTGCTAGATTGTGAAGGGGGCTATTTATACAACTCACAATTATTCGTAGTGGACAATCTGGTTTATGAATTTTTGGTAGCCCATAAGATCTTGGCAAAATTCCATCCGAAACATACAATTTCCTATAGACATCCTGATTTATCAATCCTTTTGATTTCCACCTCATTAATAAAGAACGCGTTAAAGAAGTCATTTTATTAATCGGATCCTTTTTTATTTCTCGATAAGTATTACTATCGGATAGAATGGCATTCATTTTCGATACATATTCTTCATAAGATATAATAACAGTGGAATTACCCTTGTCCGCCTTCGTCACCAACAAACATTTATTATTCTTCAAAAACATCTTAAGTTCTCTTATCCCTTGTTTAATAATATTGTCGAACTTGTTATTGGAAATATTATAGTCTATACGATTTAGAACCGTTATTGTGTCCTTCCTAATTAAATTCTTTGTTTTTTCGTCAAGTTTTTTAATGTTATATTCAATGTGTTTTATAAATTCAACAGTCATTTTTTTATTATTGGCAACAAGGTCCGGTAAATTAAAACGTGGTCCTAGCTGTAAGATGTATTTAGCGTGATTCGGAATGTCGATGTCAGTGAGATTTATGAGCCAATCATCGTTGACATTGTCAATTTTGTAATTCGAACACTGGGTAAACTTATCCGGAGGAACTTTTATGTGATGTACTTTAGCCGAGTCAGATATGCTACCACTATCACTATTATCCGAAACTAGATCTGAGGATGACCTTACTATTCCTTTTCCCATCGATCCGTCACCTCTATTCTCAACAGAACCAACTTTTTTAGAGGAACTTCTAATAACCTTGTCTGTGGAAACTTTTTTGCTACTTTTTTTAATAGATAAATCCCTAAAGTTGAAGGTCTAAAAACCGCACCTTCAATATTTGGTTCTGACATGGTGAGAGTGTACTCAATATTTTTTATATGTTTGCAATTATTATATGTAGTAATACAACTCAACCTCTCTATCTTTTTCATAATTCTAACATTTTCAAAATACCAATCTCTAGAAAATCTTTTCTCTTGATAGCAAAGAGAAAAGTTGTCCACTACGAATAATTGTGAGTTGTATAAATAGCCCCCTTCACAATCTAGCAATTTTTTTTTAAAGGATATTATTAATAAAAGCTTAAATTTAAAAGGCAAATTTGGACACATAAAAAATAGTTTAGAATTGGTCAGAAAAATTAATGGATTACCGATACCAGAAGATTACAAAATTGTTTCCTTTGATATTTCATCCATGTATTCGAACATTCCCCTTGAGCTGGCCGTGGAAAGTGTGATAAGTAGGTGGAAAGGGATAGAGAACAACACGTCTTTGCCTCTTCCGGAATTTAAGAACGCAATCACAATTATTTTAAAATCCACTTTTTTTAAGTTTAATGATAAGTATTATGAGCAGATTTTTGGGTTGCCCATGGGATCTCCGTTATCACCTGTCTTGGCTGACTTAGTGATTCATGACTTAGAAAATAATGTTTTTCAAAATGTAATTACACACATACCGGTTTATTATAGATATGTAGATGACATTGTACTAGCAGCTTCAAAAAACAAAATTAACGATATTTTAGATTCGTTTAATGCATATCATGAACGCATTAAATTTACGGTCGATCATGGTGATGAGTGTAGTATCAATTTTTTAGACTTAAAATTAATATACGAGGATGGATACATCATTTGTGATCTGTATAAAAAACCAACTAATTCAGGTAGATACCTCAATTTCTTTTCAAACCACCCGTTTTCACAAAAGAGAGGTATGGTGACGAATTTGGTGGACAAGGTCTTATTTCTTTCACATCCCAAATTCCAACAAAAAAACATAGAATCCTTAATTAGCTCCCTCCTAGACAACGGTTATCCCTTACAAATGCTATTTAAGGTCATCCAAGATAGAATTATTATACTTTCCAACAAATATAATTTCGAAATAATTAATAACATGGATCAGAACTTTGATGATGAATTAACAAAAAAGACAAATTATTTTATTATACCTTTTTTAAAAAAGAGTTCAAATAAATTCAAAGGAATTTTGAAAAAATACAACCTCCAACCGGTGTACAAACCATTAAACAGTCTTAGTAAATTTATCACTCTAGGCAAAGACAAAATAAGTAAAGATGATCAATCAGGCGTAGTATACAAAATAGACTGTAAAGAATGTAATAATACATATGTGGGCCAAACGAAACGAAAACTAAAAACACGCTTAAAAGAACATATTAATGATATAAAAAAACCGGTTGAATCTCTATCTGTTATTTCAAATCATCAAATAAGTGATGGACATGTTATGGATTGGAATAACACTGAAATTTTAGATTTAGAACAGTCTTTTTTTAAAAGGAGCATTTCCGAGATGATCTACATAAAAATGCATACAGATACCTTAAATAAGCAAAGTGATACCGATCGGTTCCCTGACGTATACCTCCCTCTCCTCAAATAATATCTCTATCCCTTCTTACTCAATTCTCTTGTAAAAATAACCCCCTTCTCCCCTCTCGTCCTCTCTCTAGGTGAAGAGTATAAATAGACCGAATTTCGGACTTTCGACATACAAAGAAAAGCACGTTATAATTAATAACATGTGAGTGTAATAACAGTGAGATGTGTACAGTGAGATACGTGTAAGTTTTTGAAAATTATTAGTTAATTTCTTTGCTTCCCTTCTTCGTTTTATTCTTTTTTCTTTCGGTTGTAATTATTTATTCATCAAAACAAACAATTTATTATTAACATAGTAAATAACACAATCAATAATATTTCTAACACAAAATTATTTTAATTCTGAAAATTAATCAGGTCCTAATTGTCATATTTAATCTCACACATAGAACTGACCACTTGCGTGTCTCCTGTGGGTCTGATCACGTACATGTGTTGAATACGTGTAGAGAGTCCAAAAAAACTTAAAAAAGTCTAAAATTGGTCTTGTACTTATATATGAAAAAAGTCGGAGTCGGATCAAGAAGAAAAATTGAAAAGCTTGACATTAAAGTAATAGTAGACATACCAATACGGAAATTGATTTGATGATTAATGGAAGATTTGTACTGCACCATATAAAACGTTGCGAACTGTTATATAAATGCTAAAATTATCTTTACATGCTGTTTTCAAAGAAATGCGATATTTATATTTTGTATGTCACCATATTATTGCGAACTGTGGGGTGATAATTAAAAATTATCTTCACACACTTTTTCTAAAAAGATGCGATATTTCTGCTTAAATGTTTTGCGAAAATGTTTTGCGTTGTTAGATTAGGATTACTATCGAGTGATTTCGGTTTAATATAATGTTATTAGAAATGTACTGAAGATGGTCAAATATTGACCGAAACGTATACAAATTGTACTTGGTTTTTATAATATATGACTTCTAAACAACGAAGGTTGGTTATATGCTCCTGAAAAGTTTCAAATTTCTTAATTGTAGCCACTAAAATATTGAAATTTTAAAAATAAAAATTTGATTTTTTTAATTAACACCCTTATGCGAGGTAAAGTAATGATATATTCTAAATTTTAAATTGGTTTTAATTTTATAGAGAAAAAGAAAAAAAAAGGAAAAAAGAAAGAATAAAGATATTTATCCTCGCATTCGGGAATGTATTTTAACATAAACGGTCTCATTTCCAATCATATTATACTATTTTACTTACTTAATATATAATGCTACTTAATATATAATACTACTTAATATATAATACTACTTAATTATTAGGCATATATGCTATTGTTAGTTATTATTTTAGAAAAAGGGCCTCCAAAAGAAAAGGAAAGATTGTAGAATAGATATTCTTTATCTATGTGACGCGTAAGGGTATACAAATATGAACTATCTGTTGGTTTGAATGTTTAAATAAAGGAATTAAATGTGCCCTGCTATAAAAGGGAAAAGAATTTTACAATATATAAAAGATATGATAAAGTTTCGAAATAAAGATAAAATAGGGACAAAATATCAAAAAAACTAAGACAAAACATTAAACTAGAGATAAGATAAAGATAAAGTATAAATCGTATATTTATAATAAGGAAAGAGAGAATTTTATCGGGATGTAACACAAAATATTAGGTTGAGTAAAAAGTCATCGCGTATTTTTTAGCTCAAAGTTGTATATACAATAATATCTTCATCAATAATGAATGAAATTCAAATTTTAAAAAAGGGTTTTAAAGCTTGAAATCTCTACTTTTAAAAGCTTATCACATTTTTTAAGTTTATATGAGTTTGATAATTTTTACATACCAAAAACTACAAGCTGAAAAAGACGAAAAATTTTCTTCTCACTTTGTGGATTTGTAACGTGTCCAAAACGAATTTGAGAAAATTTTCGATTACCTATCGTGAAAGCTTGATACTTTCCCTACAAAATCGTTTTTTTTTAATATTCCTACGACTTTTGATTACTGAGTTATCGCGGATTAAATAAAAGAATTATTTTGACTTTAATTGCTCATAACTCCATTAAAAATTGTCGTATCGTATAATTTAAAAAAGAGATTTTTAAAGCTGAAACTTTACTCTATCAAGATATATTTATATTGTTGGTAAGAAAGTAATTGCGGTTTTTACTGATAGATGTCTTTTAAAAAAACGCGATGACTTTTTACTTAACCTAATAATACTACTATATTATGTTGTTACAAAGATAAAATGATACGTGGGAGCATTCGAGTATTTCCGAATGTAGCCCAACTCTAATATTTAACCCAGCGTGAGCTAGGTCGAGTATATCACACCCGACACATTAATCTTTTTAATGTTTAAAATTGTTACTAATTTGATTAAAATTTTAATGAACATAATTTTCTTATAATTCTGAATATTTTATTTGTAGTTTTTATTTAATGGGAGATCCGTTGTGTCTTATGAAATACTTTTAGATTTAGGTACAATACTTTTAAGTACACTGCAATGCATTAATTTGCTGGGTCATAATAGAGGCATAATAAAGACTTATCGATGTTGTATCAATAAATAACGCTTAACGCGCGCGCGCTTGAAATAAGAAGAGACATTGACAATAATATTTATAATAATAAATACTGTGTTGAAACTTAATTATTACATGTCTTTTTGTTGCATATAAAATTATATATTGCAGCAAAAATGCATGAATTATATCTCCGTTATATTGACACTACTCTTTATATTGTATCTGTATATGACGTATATAATGTTTTATATATTATATATTAGATGTTATATATTGCGCAATGAATATACATATAGAAGATAACGGAGATAAGCATATATAAAAAATGTCAAAAAAATAGATCTCTTATTAAAATTAAAAATTATGATTTTTTTTCGAAATTATTCTTTTCGTCGATAAAATTATGCTTACCTGAGTGTCTCTCTCTCTCTCTCTCTCTCTCTCTCTCTCTCTCTCTCTCTCTCTCTCTCTCTCTCTCTCTCTCTCTCTCTCTCTCTCTCTCTCTGTCGAATAATTTAATGATTTTAAAATTAAAGATTAAAGAATTGTTTAAATAATACTAAAATCAAATTTAATAATTGTTAATTATGTTTTCTGCTTTATAGCACTAAAAATGTAATTATTAAAATTTATATATTAAATATTATTAGTCATAAGATCTGTTTCAACCGAAAATAGGGTTCTTTCAGTTTTATTTAATTCCCCATATTAATTATATCTGATGAATAGGATATGGGAAAAGAGTGCAGTGGGTTTAGCAAAGAGAAAACAGAGTATGTTGATACAGAATATAATTTTATGTGAAAAAGACTTGTATAAAACATGCGGTAGAGAGATAAAAAAACGAAGTAGCAGGAGCACAACGCAACCAAAAAAAAGTTTCGACTGTCAATAATCGATATATATGCTTTAAGGTCGAATTTATTTCCAACACTCC